AGAAGGGTAAGTTAGAATCACAAATCAATCATACAAGTATAGAACAATAATCCATACTACACAATCAATCAACTATCAATCATATTCATAGAGTTACACCATACACTCTATCCAATACTACTCATGCATAAAGTACAATCCACCAATCATGAAGTCAAACACCACACTTCATCATATTAATAATCATGCAATAAATGCATCTCATGACAGATATCAATGCATATCAATCATCTAATGCGTCGTCACGCATGCACCTAGGAGATCTCCATAACAATAGAGCTGTATAAGTGACATTCCATCCTACCGAAACCACCCCAACCGTTTTCACGCCCAATGCGCCCGCTCGGTCACAGCTAAACAGGATATATAATCCTCACTCGGGTTTACTCGGATGATGTCACTTACACACTTGGAAGTCCAGATCCACCGTTAGGTATAACATAGCTAGGTACGGGCTTACCACGACCTTGGCATGCATTAACCAAGTGAATTGTGGATTTCGCCCACCGACTATCTACAAGGATCCACGCACCTTCCCGAGTACTTGGTTAAGGGAATAACCCTCAACCTCATACCCCGCTCCAACACTAGCTAAGGACTTAGAGGAGACTCACCCAACCTAGTGGCCTATCTGAGCACCACTCTCCCAAATTCAGTGGCCTCCCAGAGCACCACTCTCATATATCAGTGGCCTATCCAAGCACCACTCTCAAGAGACTCTATGTGAGCTCTTCCAGTTCGAAAATATTTTTCCTCTCCTCAAGTCCTAGGCTAGACTCATGCCATAAGGCATCACATGCAATCATGCATCATACATCATATATGGTCTGCCCATATATATCATACATACATGATCCAAATCTTCAACTTTAAACATGCATAAGCATCAATTATTTATAAACATATTCACGCTCGGCGTAGCCTGAGCTCGCCCAGCCTATTTTCAACCTAAGAGTCCTAAGACTCATCCATGCCCAGCGCGTTCAACTCACGCTCGGTGTCCTTGAAATAGAGACTCCTAAGAATATCCATACTTGACACAACCAAATCATGTCTGGCCTAACAACTAACCCGAGAGCCCTAAGCTCTTCCACGCCTGGCGCGCTCAACCTGCGCCTAGCCGACTCCTAGTCAGCGAGTTCTGTGAAGTCCCACATCGGTTAGGAAGGAGAACGAAGCATGCCATATATATGGGTGTGGATACCTTCCTTGTGTGGAGGCCTTTTGGGGTGGCATGCGTGCCATTGCCAGAAGCAAAACCGTGAGGGCTGCGGCCAAAGCGGACAATATCCACATGCGGGTTGCTGGGCTGTTACATTTGGTATCAGAGCCGGGACCCGGGCAGGTGTGCCAGCGAGGGCGCTGGGCTCCCCGAGGGGGGGTGGATTGTGAAGTCCCACATCGGCTAGTAAGGTGAACGAAGCATGCCATATATATGGGTGTGGATACCTTACTCTTGAGGACGCGTTTTGGGGTGGTGTTGGCCATTCCCGAGAACAAAGCCGTGAGGCCGTGGGCCAAAGCGGACAATATCCTCATGCGGGTTGCGCGGGCTGTTACAAGTTCAAAACTCACATCTAAACTAACAAATCCAACCACATGCAAACACAAAACACAATGCATAGGCTCCATACAACATATAACAAACTCAAAATCAAAATGCACCTCAAATTCACCAAAAACCCCATTTTTTTCCCAAGACCGCGAAAAATGAGTCAATTCTCCGATCCAGCCATGGATCTTCAACTTTCATGCATCAATTGAGTTTCTAAACTCACATGCAACCTACACAACAAACATTCTAGCTTCCCTTACCTGAAAATCGGCTCAAAAAGCCAACAATTGTAACGAAATAAAATTCCTTTCCAAAGCTCAACCCAGAACTTCAATCCTCCCAAAGCAAGCTTTCTAATCTGAATTTGAAGAAAAGTCAGAAAGAGTTAGTGATCTAGAGGAGAAAAGGAGTCAAACAGAGAAATTTGGGAGAGAAAGGAGCTCACTGACCCAGAGACCTTCTCTCTAAAACTTCTCTCTAAAAACTTACATTTTCCTGAAGGCCCCCAACCCCTATTTATAGACTTTCGGATTGCCCCAGAACGGCCCGTTCTCCCTCCGGAACGGCCCGTTCTCCCTCCGGAACAACTCGTTCTCCTTCCAGAACGGCCCTTTCTCCTTCCCAGAATGGCCCGTTCTCAACTGCATTGTATAGTTCAATTCAGTAGTTTGGAACGGCCCGTTCCAGTTTGGGAACGGCCCGTTCTGGGCTACTGAATCAGTTTTTTTTTAACTATGTTACAATACTCCCCAACAAACAGGAATTTTCGTCCCCGAAAATAGGTATACCTGAAAAGAGGAATGGGTACTGTTCCGTGAACTAACTCTCCACCTCCCAGGTAACCTCACTAGTAGTTGCATCCCAAACAATCCTCATCAAGCTGATGGACTTGCCACGAAGCTTCTTCAACTTGTGATCAACCACAACTACCAGTCTCTTCTCATAGGTCAAGTTCTCTCTAACTTGCACCTCATCCAACTCTACCACATGACTCGGGTCTCTGATGTATGTAGTTCCTCAACTGTGAAACGTGAAACACATGCTCTCCCTCTTCAAATTCTAGAGGTCTCCTCCTCCTATCAACATAGGACTTTCATTAACTCTAGTTTTCTCTTATTTATTTCCTCAACTTTTAAACTTTAAACACATTCTCTCCCTCTTCAAATTCTATATTTCTCCTCCTCCTATCAACATATTACTTTCATTAACTCTAGGTAGCCCTCAACCTTTCCTGAATCGATCTCACCATCTCAATAGTTTAAAGAACTAACTCTGGACCAACCACTATTGACTCACCCTCCTGATACCAACATAATGGAGTCCTACACCTCCTACCATATAAAGCCTCAAAAGGAGCCATGCTAATACTCAAATGATAACTGTTATTATAAGTAAACTTTACCAATGGTAACACCTCCTTCCAGCTACCCAGATGATCCAACATACAAGCTCTCAAGAGATCCTCCATTGACTGAATTGTCCTCTCCGACTGACCATCTGTCTATGGATGTTAAACGGAGCTCAACCTCAACCTTGTCCCCAAAGCCTGATGCAGAGTCTGCCAACCTGGAAGTAAACCTTGGATCTCTGTCAGAGATAATACTAGAAGACACTCCATGCAACCGTACTATCTCTCTAATATACAACTGTGCAAGCCTCTCCAAAGACCACCTCTTGTTGATAGGAAGAAAGTGCGCACACTTTGTCAACTTATCAACAATCACCCAGATAGAGTCACTGTTCCTAGCTGTCCTAGGCAACCCAACCACAAGGTCCTTAGTGACACTATCACACTTCCACTCGGAAATCTCCATCAGCACTAAGTTCAAAGCACTAAGCTCAAAACCAGCTGCCCTCTCGGTACAACGCAATCCCAAAATCCTCAACAACTTTGGATTCTATAATTGCTTAATTCCCACCTGTCTCAAGAACTCATTAGTTATGGTGATCATACCACAACAAATTTGATCTTCAACAACCTCCACCTCTAGTCCCAAATCTCTGAACTACTCAATCAGCTCCAACTCCCTAATCAACATAACTGACACATGAATGGATTTCCTACTCAATACATCTGTTACCACACTCGCCTTCCCAAGATAATACATCAACTAGAAATCAAAGTCCTTTAGGTATTCCATCCACCTTTTTTTGCCTCATATTCAACTCCTTCTGATCACTAAATACACTGAATCTCGCACCATACAAATAGTGCCTCCACGACTTCAAGGCAAACACCACAGCTGCAAGCTCCAAATCATGAGTAGGATAATTTCTCTCATGAGTCTTAAGTTGCCTCGAAGCATACACTACTACTCTCCCTTCCTGCATCAACATATAGTCTAACCCCTGGTGAGAAGCATCACAGAACACATCAAAATACTCACCAGTGTTAGGTAACACCAAAATTGGAAAAGTAGTCAATCACCCCTGCAATTCCTGAAAACTCTGCTCACAAGCGTCCATCCAAACAAAAAGCTGATCCTTCCAAGTCAGTTAAGTCAAAGGCCTTACTATTCGAGAGAAACCTTCTATGAATCTCTGATAGTAACCTGTTAACCCAACAAAACTCCTAATCTCCGCAACAGTCCTCGGACGCTCCCACTAAATCACAGCCTCTACCTTGGCTGGATCCACTACAATCCCCTTTGTCGATATCACATGCCCCAAAAACCTCACCTCAGACAACCAAAACTCACCCTTGGACAGCTTGGCATATAACTAGCTCTCTCTCAGCACCTCTAAAACCAACCTTAGATGCTCACGGTGATCCTCCAAAGATCTAGAATACACCAATATATCATCAATGAAGACCACCACAAACCTGTCCAATAATGACCTAAAAATCTTGTTCATGTAATCCATGAACACTATTGGAGCATTAGTGACACTGAAACACATCACTACGTACTCACAGTGACCATACCTAGTCCTGAAAGCAGTCTTCGATATGTCACTTTCCTTCACCCAGATCTGATGGTATCTGGATCTCAAATCAATCATCAAAACATTGAAGCTCCCCTCAACTGATCCATCAAATCATCAATCCTCGGAAGTCGATACTTATTCTTTATCGTCAACTTATTCTGTTGCCAATAATCAACACACAAATGGTCCCACCATCCTTCTTTTTCACTAACAATACTAGGGCACCCCAAGAAGAAATACTAGGCCTCACAACCTGTTTCTCCAACAAATCCTCATTCTATCTCTTCAGCCCTACCAACTCAGCTAAAGTCATCCTATAGGGAGCCACTAATACAGATCTTACACCTAGTACCAGATCAATGCTAAACACAACATCACGCATAGGTGACAATCCCGACACATCATCTAGGAACACCTCAAGAAACTCACTGACAATCTCAATTCCAGTGATGGCCCTCTCCGTTTCAACACTCAAGGAGGCAAACAACATGAAGCACTCAGCTCCATCTCTCATCAACTACTTAGCCTGACCCACTGACAACACCACCCAATCCTCCAACTGAGGAAGTACCAAATCTCTTCGAGCATAATCTATAAGAATGTGATGGGCAGATAACCAATCCATCCCTAAGATTATGTCAATATCCACCATGGGTAACACAATCAGGTTCACTCGGAACCTCCTACCAAACACCTCTATCGGGCATCTCACACACATCTCCAACGTCACCATAGAAGCTGAAGCTGGAGTAGACACAGATAAATCAACATGCAATGAAAATACTGACAAACCAAATCTCCCTACACAATCAACAGAAATAAAAGAATTTGTGGCACCAGAATAAAACAAAAATAAAACATCCTCACCTGCTGCCTTCCTTTTCCCCTTCACCAAGTCTGATGAAGTGGAAGCCTCTGCACCTGACAAGGCAAACACTCTCCCTGTAGCTGTAGGCGTGGGTGGCCTCGGGGCACTCCCAAATGAAGTCAGCGGTGTCTAACAATCTCTAGAGATGTGGCCTGGCCTACCACATCTGAAGCAAACATTCCCCGGATGGGAACAATCTCTGCCCACATGTGCTCCTCCACATCTGTAGCACCGCACCGACTGTGCTCCACCCTGAGGAGTAGTTGGGCGAGGTCCCTTACTAACAGCTACTCTTTGAGACTGCACAAGTCTATCATAGGGTCCCCTCTGCTGGCCTCCCTTCCTGGACCCAGATGATCCCTCTTGAACTCTAGCAGCCTTACCACTACTACCACCACCTTCCAATCTCTCAACAGTCTTTGCTTTCTCAACCAAAGCAGGAAACTCCACTATGGACATAGGGACTATGACTCTCTTCAGTTCATGCCTCAACCCCTCTGCAAACTTCCTACATCTCCAAGCCTCAGATATGGCCTGAGAGTAGAAACGAGCTAAATGCTCAAACCTCATGGCATACTCAAAAATAGACAAGCTCCCTTGATGTAGTCTCATGAACTCCGCCTCCTTAGCGTATCTAACGCTGTCCGGGAAATACTTCTCTAAAAAGACCCTCCTGAAGCAATCCCAATCAATAAGTACACCCCTGCTCTCTAGCATCTGCCTAGTGCCTCTCCACCAGTACTCAGCCTCGCCTCCCATCATGTATACTGCATAAGCCAACTTCCTCTCCTCCGAAGATCCCAGAACACTGAAGATCTTCTCCATCTCACTCAACCACTGATCTGCCACATCAGGATCTGGATCCCCCTTGAACTGAGGAGGCTGACATCCCCTGAACTCTGCTAAATCTCTCTCATCCTGAGAGACCACTGGTCTAGCTGCCTCAGCCACAGCTCTAGCTGCCTCAGCCGCAGCTCTACCTGCCTTCATCTGAGCAAAGTGAGCACTCTGTTGTTGCATCGCCATGGCCATCATCTCTATGGCCCTAGCAATCTGGTCATACTGAGGCCTCACCATACTACAGGAATTCAAACATCTTTCTTTAATAAGGTAATATCACAACAAATCACTAAAAACCAACACATATCAGAGATATGACACAACAGAAACCTAGAAGGATCACTCCCCATAGAGTATCCCAAAAGACTCAACCAGCTCTAATACCAAAAAAGTGTAACGCCCCGCCATGGTCTCTACACTTGGTGGAATCGCACTACTACTAGTGAACTAAGAAAATATTAAGTTGGATAACTCACACATACATGTATAGATAAGAATAAAATAACTAAATTTCTTAAATACAAAATAAAATGCCATATATGTACAATCATCCCAAAAATAATATTTCCTAGTGCCGGTCAAGCACAAACAAAATCGTTACCTAAAATGGTAACCCTAACACAAGGATCAAACTCCCCGTCTTACAGCGGACACCTCAACTCCAAGCTAGCCCTGACCTGCTCCCATACCAAGTATGATCATCGCAGTTCCACCACATGAAAAACAGAAGGGTAAGCTAGAATCACAAATATATCATACAAGTATAGAACAATAATCTATACTACACAATCAATCAACTATCAATCATATTCATAGAGTCACACCATACACTCTATCCAATACTACTCATTCATAAAGTACAATCTACCAATCATGAAGTCAAACACCACACTTCATCATATTAATAATCATGCAATAAATGCATCTCATGAAAGATATCAATGCATATCAATCATCTAATGTGTCGTCACGTATGCACCTAGGAGATCTCCATAACAATAGAGTTGTATAAGTGACATTCCATCCTATCGAAACCACCCCAACCATTTTCATGCCTAATGCGCCCGCTCGGTCACAGCTAAACAGGATTTATAATCCTCACTCGGGTTTACTCGGATGATGTCACTAACACACTTGGAAGTCCAGATCCACCGTCAAGTATAGCACAGTTGGCTACGGGCTTACCACGACCTTGGCATGCATTAACCAAGTCAATTGTGGAGTTCGCCCACCGACTATCCGCAAGGATCCATGCACCTTCTCGAGTACTTGGTTAAGGGAATAACCCTCAACCTCATACCCCGCTCCAACACTTGCTAAGGACTTAGAGGAGACTCACCCAACCTAGTGGCCTATCTGAGCACCACTCTCCCAAATTCAGTGGCCTCCCAGAGCACCACTCTCATATATCAGTGGCCTATCCAAGTACCACTCTCAAGAGACTCTATGTGAGCTCTTCCAGTTCGAAAATATTTTTCCTCTCCTCAAGTCCTAGGCTAGACTCATGCCATAAGGCATCACATGCAATCACGCATCATACATCATATATGGTCTGCCCACCATAATGATCAACAATCATACACATGTCATAAGACATCACATGCAATAATGCATCATACATCATACATGGTCTACCACCATTATGATCAATAAACATACCATATGAACATATACACATGTCATATCATATTCAAACATTCATATATATCATCACTATGCATACATATGAATCACACCTCACCATACATCATATATCATACATACATGATCCAAATCGTCAACTTTAAACATGCATAAGCATCAATTATTTATAAACATATTCACGTTCGGCGTAGCCTGAGCTCGCCTAGCCTATTCCCAACCTAAGAGTCCTAAGACTCATCCATACCCAGCGCGTTCAACTCACACTCGGTGTCCTTGAAATAGAGACTCCTAAGAATATCCATGTCTGACGCAACCAAATCATGTCTGGCCCAACAACTAACCCGAGAGCCCCAAGCTCTTCCACACCTGGCGCGCTCAACCTGCGCCTAGCCTACTGCTAGTCAGAGAGTTCAAAACTCACATCTAAACTAATAAATCCAACCATATGCAAACACAAAACACAATGCATAGGCTCCATACAACATAGAACAAACTCAAAATCAACATGCACCTCAAATTCACCAAAAACCCCATTTTTTCCCAAGACCGCGAAAAATGAGTCAATTCTCCGATCCAGCCATGGATCCTCAACTTTCATGCATCAATTGAGTTTCTAAACTCACATGCAACCTACACAACAAACATTCTAGCTTCCGTTACCTGAAGATCGGCTCAAAAAGCCAACAATTGTGACGAAATAGAATTCATTTCCAAAGCTCAACCCAGAACTTCAATCCTCCCAAAGTAAGCTTTCTAATCTGAATTTCAAGAAAAGTCAGAAGGAGTTGGTGATCTAGAGGAGAAAAGGAGTCAAACAGAGAAATTTGGGAGAGAAAGGAGCTCACTGACCCAGAGACCTTCTCTCTAAAACTTCTCTCTAAAAACTCATATTTTCCTGAATGCCCCCAACCCCTATTTATAGACTTTTGGATTGCGCCAGAACGGCCCGTACCGTGTTCAGAATAGCCCGTTCCGAACTCCCAAATCACGCACAAAATCCATGCCCAGAGCGGCCTGTTCTGAAATCAGAACGGCCTGTTCCGGGACTCATCCGGAATAGCCCGTTCTCCCTCCGGAACGGCCCGTTCTCCCTCTGGAACGACCCGTTCTCCTTCTAGAACAGCTCGTTCTCCTTCCCAGAACGGCCCGTTCTCAACTACATTGTATAGTTCAATTCAGTAGTTTGGAACGGCCCGTTCCAGTTTAGGAACGGCCCGTTCTGGGCTACTAAATCATTTTTTTTTTATTTTAACTATGGTACACTTAAACTCAAGATGATTTGACTCAATCACATGCGAAGGATCATGGATGTATTTCCAAAGTTCGGAAATGTGGAAAGCATCATGGAGATTTGCCAAATTAGGAGGCAAAGCAATTTGGTAGGCAACACTACCGATATAATAATCAATAAAATTAGCAATTTAATATAATTTCAACATAAACAGTAAAACTCCAATTGTTCCAAAACCTAGCTCACATGCACTTTTCTACAATTTCGTTCTCTCTCCCGGATCATCATTCTTACAAATTAAATATATATTTCTAATCCTCAACACATACGAAATCTAATGGTATAATTAATTCCTCAAACAGAAATAATCTAATTTTTCCAAAACCTAACTTACAGGCACTTTTCTATAATTTCGTTCTCTCTCCTAGAGTATCATTTTTACAAACAAATCATATAATCATAGTCCTAAATACATACAGAATCACATAAGACCAATAATTCTCCAAACAGAAATAATTATAAAATTGCTCATAATCCTAAGGGTTCTTCTTCTACCCAATTCCCTCATGTAACTCCACATATAAATAATCCCTTTTTCCTCGGTACCTGGATATGTAGAAGCTGAATCTAGATATGTAGAAACTGAATCTACACTAGATCTGGTTGGTCTCCCTCGTTGGGTTCCCCTCGGTCTGAAGCAGAAAGTAGAGGAAAGAAGAGAGAGAGCAGAAGAAAAGAAATCAGAAAATGAAAGGTGTGCTTTTTGGGAGTGGCAAACAGCTCTATTTATAGGCATTCTACGCCAGAACGGCCCGTTCCGGACCCATAAACCATGGGTAAAAATCACATCCAGAACGGGTCATAATTTTGGGAACGCCCCGCTCCAAGCCCGTTCCCATTTAGGGTTAATGGCATATTTACTAGTTTGGAACGGCCCGTTCCATCCTGAGAACGGGCCGTTCTGGGCTATTAACTCACATACAATTTGCTAGTTTGGAACGGCCCGTTCCAATTCCGGAACAGCCCGTTCCAAGCTACTAAATCACTCCTATCACCTTTATAAAATTACCAAAATACTCTCAATTAAAATAAATAAATAAAAAGTGAAATAAAAACTGGGGTGTTACAATTCTCCCCTCCTTTAAGAAATTTCGTCCTCGAAATTACCTGAAGCAAAGAAAAATGGATATGAAGCTTTCATCTTCTCCTCTAACTCCCAAGTAGCACTTTCAGGTGTAGCTCCTCCCCAAATAACTTTCACCAAACGAATTTCCTTACCCCTAAGTTGTTTCACCATTCGATCCTCGACTCTCACTGGGGTAGCTTCCACAATTAGGTTCTCCTTAATGTAACGACCCGCCATGGTCTCTACACTTAGTGGAATCGTACTACTACTAGTGAACTAAGAAAATATTAAGTTGGATAGCTCATACATACAAGTATAGATAAGAATAAAATAACTAAATTTCTTAAAAACAAAATAAAACGCCATATATGTACAGTCATCCCAAAAATAATATTTCCTAGTGCCAGTCAAGCACAAACAAAACCGTTACCTAAAATGGTAACCCTAACACGAGGATCAAACTCCCCGTCTTACAGCGGACACCTCAACTCCAAGCTAGCCCTGACCTGCTCCCATACCAAGTATGATCATCGCAGTTCCACCACATGGAAAACAGAAGGGTAAGTTAGAATCACAAATCAATCATACAAGTATAGAACAATAATCCATACTACACAATCAATCAACTATCAATCATATTCATAGAGTTACACCATACACTCTATCCAATACTACTCATGCATAAAGTACAATCCACCAATCATGAAGTCAAACACCACACTTCATCATATTAATAATCATGCAATAAATGCATCTCATGACAGATATCAATGCATATCAATCATCTAATGCGTCGTCACGCATACACCTAGGAGATCTCCATAACAATAGAGCTGTATAAGTGACATTCCATCCTACCGAAACCACCCCAACCGTTTTCACGCCCAA